GGGGGGGAGGGCAGGATACACTGTATTAGAGGGAGGAAAGGGCCATTATCTTAGGACAAAAAAGGGAGGCGATATTAGAAGTTGAACAGGAGAAGATTTTTGGGGAGAAAAAGGGGGAAAGGCTGTTGAGGTGGAAATATTTTTTCACTATTTTTAATATTTTTCAGACTGGAAAAGAAAAAGAAATTATTTGAAATGGTCACACTAAATAGGTTGTCTTTATTCTAGAACTATTTCTGAATATGTGCACAATTTATGAAGGATTTGCACAATTCATGAATGTACATTGTTGCAATATTCCTTTACAACATGTGCCCTCCAACTAAATCCAAACGGGGACATTAATCAGTCTGGTGTCTAGTAGATTCTCGTCTGTATGTGTTAATGGACATCAGATTTTAATTACACTAATGCATTTTAGTTACAAATTGTGTTAATTAAACATAGTTTTACCTCACCGGGAGAGTTTATGTCATGGCATGGTGTCTGTCTGTCCATTGTCAACTTCTTTTCTTTAAATGACTTCTTATAAAGAAGTTTGAGGCCTAGGGTAATAATATTTTGTTGGTAGCTTGCTGGTGTATTAAGGGGCTAATAATCAAACTGTTCAAACAAATGTCCTTGACACATGCATTCACTCAAATGTGTTAAAATCTTCGAATGGTTTATTACAATGAATCACAAGGGTTAAAATAATGATACATGGCCTATAGTTTGAAGGTTAAAGGATGTCTAAATAAATGACATTAGCCCAAAGTCAAGGTCACACATTCAGATGTGTTGCAAACGTCAAACAACTTCTAAAGAATCACAGTGCTGGAAGTCATGAGAGTTGATCTGTCCAAATACATTATCCTGAATCACATTTAAGTTCACAGGGGTCAGATGAGTTAAATTTGATACAAATATTCCTATCACTGCCCTGACCAAGTAATATTATAGTAATTGTTCAGGACAGTAACAAATCTGAGGTGGCCATGATGGTCACAAATTTATGGAAACATTTTCTTGTCTATTTAAGAAAAAATCAGATGAAATAATACAGGCCCCACAAGCCTCTTGTTATAAAACATTTAATTAAGAAAAAGGGTAATGAAAAACATATTTGTTGAATGAGTTGTCGTGTAAGGGTTTACTTATGTAAAGGATTATGGGTTACTGAGTACCAAATTTGTAATTAATTATTCACCGATAAAAGGTCCTGAAATAGCCCACTGATTTAAAGTAAAGCAAGACGTTCATTGACGTGGTTTTTAACTTGTCTTTGACATCCATAGGAACATTGACATCTATTACAGTCGTCTGTTGTACATGTTCAAATTCGACTCTCAGAAAGGAGGTGCCTAAAGTGAAATAATCTGAAAAACAGAAAATTATGGATACCTTTGAATAGACTTCTGACAAAGCTTATGCATTATAGGATATTTTGAGATTTACTGTTTAATGTTTAAGAGGCTTAGACATAAGTGCAATAGATTTATGGTTCATTATGTCAATGATTTCCTTAATGTATTTATACTAAAACTACCCCTAGTAGCTTAATCATGACAACTTCTGTATTAATGATGTTAAAATAGCAATATATTCCTGTATGTTAAATGGTTTATTAGGCTAGTAATCTCCATTAGAGTTTTGACTAGATCATGTTCAGCACCATAGACGACAAGCATTCAAATGATCTTATTGATGTCTGCTTCAATATGATGTTTACTGAACTCTATTAGCTCACATGGCCCTGTTACAAGGGATATGCACATGGCTAGATCATGACCAACATCTGATATGTTTTTGATGTTACAAATCAAAATCCATGATGCCTTTTCTAACCTTTGAGTGCTTGAGATAACTTTCCAACTTCTTCTCAAGTACCACCTAACCAATTTTAACCACTTTTAACAGAGAAATAATGTCTTCCTGTCCAATGATCATGAATATCATTACTGATTACACTGTCTCAACTGACTAGTAAAGGGTGAGTGCCCATGTGGTTGTTTTATAAGCCAATTGGTTTTCAGATTTCCCCTTGATGACGTGGTAAAATCTTCCTATAAAGCAGGTAATTAGCTAGAGTTGATTTTGACAGTGAGGGACAGGGGTGTTCTGACAGCTAGAGTTGATTTTGACAATGAGGGACATAGGTGTTCTGACAGCTAGAGTTGATTATGACGGTGAGGGACAGGGGTATTCTGACAGCTAGAGTTGATTTTGACGGTGAAAGACAGGGGTGTTCTGACAGCTAGAGTTGATTTTGACGGTGAGGGACAGGGGTGTTCTGACTAGAGCAGGGACTAAACAATTACAAAGTTCTTTTTACTAATTCATGAAAATACATAATGTTAACCATGATATTTATGATCAAATGAAATATATACATCTTTATTAATCTTTAATAAACAATTAATATGTATATCTTCATTCGAGCATCTATAGTCCTGCATTATCTTTTCTTTTTGAATGATATCTTCTTCGAAATATAAAGCCTATTTTTATGATATTTGACCTGTAGCTTGCAGGGGTGAAGAGATTATCAAGTTTGTTCAATTAATGACCCACTTTCAAGTCTTGGATTAAATGTGTTATTACTGTTGCCAGTGGGCAGGGTGTAAAAACAACAAAAAGGGATGAAACAATGTATTACATTACTGTAAAAAACCTGATCATCTCCTTTTATTTTCAGCTATTTTTCCATCTACAAAGAGAACGCTACTTTCCTGAACAGAGGGCCCGGTTTTATGCGGCTGAGATGGGGAGTGCTATCGGCTATCTTCACTCTCTCAACATCATCTATAGGTAGGCTAAAAGTGGCCCAGGTTTTATGTAATAATCTGATATATTTATTTACATGCAGACACAGTTGTACAAAAAGTTCTTTTTTTTTTTCCCCGTTTTTCATGAGAAATTATAATCTTCTGTTCTCTCTATGCAATGTATGTGATATTAAAATAACTGGAAACGATCCACTTAACTGATTGATAATCAAATTAACCAAAAGTATGCATGGTTACATTGGAGACTCCCCAAACTGGACATGTGAATTAACTAAAGAACTATCATCCTTAAGACTTCATTAATTTCAGCTTGTTTATTCATGTTATATTAACTGTAACTAAATGGTATCAATAATGTTCTTTTAGGCATTAATTGTCATCAAAGTACAGCTACCTATCACTCTATTTCCTAGCTTTTAGGCTTAGCCTTTAATGAAAAAGTGAATGGCCCTCACTTGCTCTTTGTCATGTTCATAAATGACAGGGTTAATTGAAATATGGACATCAGACTTGCAGCTAAGCGCAAAAGCTTAGAAACAGAGTGACTGTTGGTATTTATTTTGTAAGTGTGTTCAATGGTATCAAAGAATCTCAGTTTATATAAAAATTGACTTTAACTCTTACTCAAGGTGCGATTACACATGCATCTCATTGTTTTGTAAAGGACTTAGAAAGAAACATCTACCCACTCACATCCTGTCACGTATTCCTTAATAGAACTACACACTAAATTACTTGACAGGTCTTTATATTCGAGTGATTCTGAATTTCAAGACAGATTACAAGATAGTCAAAAATATCATACGCTGTGATAGATGTAAGACGGATGTCAACACCGATGTTAATAACGTAGAATAAAGGTTTTGTGTTGTGTCTCGTACATCCTCCGCCACTGTTAACATGTGTTGTTCCTGTAACCGAGAGCAACTTCTTGTCGCTTTTAACATGTTGTCTAACAGAGAGCGACTTGCCATGTCAACGCGACAGGAAGCTGTCAAGTTGATAAAACATGTCTAGTTACGTCATCATCCTGCTTGTCACAGTTCACATTTCTAGGTTGATATCTATTAACTTTAACTTGAAAGTAAATTGTCATGGACAGGTTTTTCTTACGATTTGAGATGAATTTTTTCTCAATGTTTCTGATTTCCTTATAAAAGATTTTTTATCAAGAACTACTGTTTCTTTTTCAGGGATCTCAAGCCAGAAAATATTTTACTCGACTCAAAGGTAAATGTTTATGTCAATGTGTAGCCTAATGTATGGAGATTTATATAAGTAGACCCTTGTGTACTCATCAATGTAAATGATCTCATTAACACAACTGCCAGAGGAAACTGTTCTCATTTCCATATTTATAAGAAAAGTCTATGTCACACTCGCATTATGGTGCTTGGATATCTAAAAAAAACACCAGTACGTTGTGCAGCAGTCTCTTTACTCGGACCCCTTGGTAATCTGACATCCTGGCTAATCCAACATACTGCTGTAACTCCATTTCTTACTAAAACTACCAACCAAGACCTGTGTATTATGACATTCTGTCTAATTTGACCAAGACGGAACATCCAAACGGTGTCAATTTAGACAGGTTTAACTATAGAAAAACTAGGTAGTTGGCTTTTAATTGCTTCCCTCTGAGGGCAGTTACATTACCTATACAAAATGGTTAAATATTCTGAAAAGGATTTTAGGGACAACAGTTGATCCTGTGTATAATCCTTTAGAAGCAGATAATCACCTTTGTCAAACAAATTGCTGTCTTGCATCATGTATGAAAACTGTTGCCTGTTTTTCACATGTTCTATAATCCATTAATTGAGTTTGATTACCAGGTGGGATTCTTTCATGTTCTTTATCTTTACATAGCTTATTATAAAGTTCAAGAGATAATTCCTCTGTTACAAGCAGGAGTTTTTGTGATAATTTTTTGTTTTTCGTACTGTAACCATGATTGGTATAATTTTGGGTCCAGATTTTGTAAGATACAAAATGGTGATAACAACTTCAGTGCAAATCTACATACGGATGTATCTATAATACCATTCACTCTTTCAACTGCAGTTATACTTATTTCAAGGTCTCTCATTGGCTTTTTCATCTTTTTAAGTTTTTATTCATACATATCCTTAAACTATAGATTGCTGTTTGTAAAAAGAAAAAATCTTAGAAAACAATGACACAAAAATCATGGACTTGCTGTCAGCACAAGCAACAATATAGAATATCTACATAGAAAACACCAGCAATGTAATCGTGTTGTTTACTTTCACTTTCAGTCTCTATTGATTCAATCATACCTTACTGTATTCATTTCTCTCTACAGGGTCACATCACACTGACAGACTTTGGTCTGTGTAAGGAAGGAATCGAGGGGATGGGCACAACCAACACATTCTGTGGCACACCTGAGGTAGGTCTCCTCATGTATACATCTTACCGTATCTAACTCAATGACTGCCCAGGGTGATACAAAATCTGAACCAATCCATGTAAACATAGATATGTTGGAAAAGGCTGGGGAAGGGGGGAAGGTATTTATAAGGAAATGTATGGGGTCTGTATGGGTTGGATACAGTTAAACACACAAATAACACAGTCTCACCTCTTTTCATGTAAAATAATTTCGATACCTATTTGACTACAGGTCAATTTCTACTACAGAAATATCAGAAAAATCTAAAGAAGATAGATCTGTATGTTTCACTTGTGTGACATTGTCAACCAGTGGCTATGATTGCTGTGTGATAGAGTCACTGTATTATTATTGACAGCCATTTATTAAAAAAAGATAGTTGTGGATTTGAAAAATAATTGCGTTGTAGTATTGCAAGGGAGTATAGATGGTCCAATATGGCGTGTTTGTTTACAAAGCGTAACATGAGCTGTAGGAAACTAAGATTTCTGTTTATAAGTACAATGTAAACCAATGGTGGTAAGACGGTACATTTTTGGGGATACATACTGAGGGCATTCAGGTGTCTTCTAACTGTGTTCGGTTCTGTTCCTAGCTTCATGCGTGTAAGTTTGTAAGACATTAAATGTACATTAATTACCTGACATTAAATACGGTGTACCAGCTGTTAAAGTAACCCGACTTCTTGTCTGAAGTAAAGATCTTGTTATGTGAAACTAAACCTTTTTGGAAATGTTATATGCTTCATCATCCACAAGGTCAAATAGCTTGACAGAGGATGTACTTTATATGACTGATCGTATATATACTGTTAACATACATATTTTAGTGGTCTCTTATTTTAGATTATATTATGATGACACTAATTACTGTGTCTGCATATTGTTTTCTGTGAGATATACTTTGTGGTCGCAACATTATCCATCAGTGTGCTGCTAAGACTTGATAATGCACTAAAATTTTAGTCTGCCAAAATAAGTACATTTACAGTATATTTATATTTGGAATGAGATTCACCTGTTTGGTATGAATAATAAATGATGACTTTGTTTTGAATCCAAAAAAAAAACCTGGAAACTTATTTTGTGAGCTTATGAAAATGTGTTTTTCCTTGTCAAGCAAAGAGTGCAAATAACCAGTGTCTTGACTCTTAATACATATGTACATTTTTTGAAATGTTGAAATGAAATTTTATCATTAGCTCCCGAATAGTTTTTCTACAAAATGTTGGCATTATAAAAGAGTAAGGCGTCATAACAAAAGAGAAATAGAAGGAATTGTTAAGATAAAATGACAAAAAGTCGTTGAAATATGTTGTCAGCAAGCTAAGTGGTGAATGAAAAGATTGGCAGTGTATTGAGGTATTGAGGTATTACTGATGTCCCCAAAAATGTACAGATATTAGATGCAGGTTACCAAAGGTAACACACCAGCTGGGCATCGTCTCTAACAGCTGTGTCTTGTCTTCTGTACAGTATCTAGCACCAGAAGTTCTGAGGAAACAACCATACGACAAGACAGTGGACTGGTGGTGTCTCGGGGCAGTTCTGTACGAAATGATGTATGGTTTGGTGCGTGTACTTAATAAACCTACCTGTCTTTCTTACCTGTGTATTTACATATATATATATATATCTCCTGTACATCTGTCTGGGTCATCAGAAACACCTAAATATATATTATATACCATATATGATATCACTTTACAGCTTCTATCTAAGCCATTATCACCAACCATGGCCAGTCCTGTGATTCTAAAGGTAGTGAAATTTACAAAACCCACATGAATATATGAATGAATAACAGACCTGAGTTAATTAGATGTTAATGAGTTGGAAAACTATTTTTGATATAAAAAGCTCACCAAGTCTTTCATGTGTCCTCCGCATGATTAAGCTCGCTGGGTTGGAGAGTTTTCAAGGTCATTCCTTCAAAGAAAATTAACCTTGGCTCCTTTACAAAGTCACAAAGATCTGATGACTTTTACTGGATAACCAAGCAGTTTATTATGATATTTGACCTATAAGCTTGCTTAGATGGAAGGTTTCAGGTACATTCTAATGAGGAACCTTAAAGCATTCCAAGGTCACAGAGGTCAGATGTATTGAAAGCTTCCCATTTTTGTTATAAAAAACCTCTGACATCTTACTTAAAAATCATTACATGTGCTCAACCTTATACTGTCACATAGAAACTTATATACTTCTACTTATTTTAGACCGCTTAAGTACAAACCTGAGAGGAAAGTTTGTATTGAAATCACAGAATTATTTCTCTTAGAAGATTGCAATTGAATATGTATATTTCAGTATATCCAGACTGAAATTTTGACCATATGTCAATGGCTCTGAAATCTATATGTTCTGTATATGTGTAATTGATGAATAAATATTCACTTGTGAATATTTTGCACTTACCAAGTATTTACTCTACGTAGAGCCATGAATATTTCACCACCACAAAAAAAGTCCACTTTTACTGTAACCAAGATTTGTTGCAACTATATGTGAAAAACAATTCTGGGATTTGTTTGAAATATAAAATATAGATATTTTGACTCGAAAGCCATTTTCTTTGGAGACATCATAATACAAGTAGAATTCTGTGATGCCATGGAGTAAATGTGACGTCACAATAGAGTGATGAATGAGCATACATTACAAGCTATGTTATATATGTCATAATAAATATACATAAATCAATTAATCTATATACATAAATTGAGTAAGCTTCCATATTGAAAATCCTTTCTCAAATATCCTTCAAATCTACTTCCTCAAATTTCAAATTAAAATATGAAGATTTTCCTGACTGAAGTGTCCACCTGTCAGACTATCAGTTATTAGTGATAGTTCTGTAAATAGTATATAGCTACCAGGTAGGTAATTTTATTCAACATTAGATATCTAAACCTTATATCACTACTGTAATGTACAAACATTCTGTTCACAAGTAGAGTTACTTATGATTACGGTAGAGGGCCCTAGCACTCTGTGTTGTATCTTCACTATTATAGCTCAAATTTGTTTGATATTTTTTTTTGACTTGAGCTGCTTGTCAATTAGTCATAGCTAATTATAGACTAATAATTTCAAAAGAAATATGTTTTTTTTTAAATTTCCATTTCCAAAAAACAGATTGGCTCCTATTCAATCATTCGTTTCCCTCTACCTCTTGATTATAAAGCAGGGGCCTTACTACTGGGCTAACCATCATGAGAATTATTCAAAAATATTATTCTTGAAAAAAACCTTAAAAATCCTTCAACGTATAATTTCTCTATATGAATACAGAGTTATAACAAATTCAATGGGAAAATAACTTTACCTTTCAGTAGAAAGAGGGGAAATAATGAAACAAGATTACCATTCCAACCTAAGCTATCTGGGTGGGAAGGTGTATTGATAATGTCCGCCTGTAATCTGTCAAATCATTGTTAATATGACTGTAATCATGATTGTTAATGTATCTGTAATCAGTAGATTGTGTCTATAATCAGAAGATTTATTTGGTTACCTGCCAGTGTGTGATTGTGATGTTTTTTACTTTTGTAGCCCCCTTTCTACAGTCGGGACACTGCTGAAATGTACGACAACATTTTATATAAACCCCTACGTCTGAGGACCAACGTGTCAGCTGCTGCCAGGTCCATACTGGAAGGGGTAAGGTCACATGTGTAATCCAACAGTAGTTTTGGATAGGTCAAATATTTTAAACCCACACAGTGTAAGGGGGGAGGGGTTTTCAGTGTCTAGTGAACTACATATACTATGTGTTTATTTGTTACTTGTATAGAATGTTTGTTTTCTATTTCTCACTCACTATTCTGACACAACCAAGGTAAATGTGTGTGTAGCTTTCAGCATGTCTTAGATTAGATTACATTGTAACACACAGAATCTGTGTCAAATATCAGACAGCAATACAGCCAAATCAACAATATAGAGAAGAAGTGTCCTGAACCTAAATAGGTCACTGTGACATATATTTGACCTCTGACCTCATTAAAGTGTAAATACTTATAGAGTAACACTTATGTACTATTGCATATAAAATCAGCAAAATCTTAGGATCTGTACATATAGGGAAGGTGGAGTTGGAGCATTTTTCTCCTATAATTTCAAGTCAGATGATCTTACATTACATGAGTGAATCTAGGTGAGGTGTAGTGTTGTGAACCAAAATTAGGTCACTGTGACCAATGTTAATTATGTCAACCTAGAAAAAAAACCTGTTCTGGGGTATTTTCCCATACTTGTCTGCCTATATGATCATGACCATAGCTTACAAACTAAAAACAAAAGGAAAGAGGTCAAATCAAAGGTCACCACAGTTTTGGTTATTCTTAAAGAGATTCTGCCTCAAAATCATTAAGAAAAAAAGCAGTTCTGAAATCAAAATTATAGGCCAGCAATCCAATTACTGTACACACCACACTTTTGAACAATGGCAGTCATGATTGCAAATTCAGTGAAATTTAAGGCTACTTGAAGCTACTTTGGCAACATAGCTGGAGTGAACTAGAAATCAATGCTTTGAGTCCATCTGGTTGTAATTTTAATATTGATTAATTTGGTGAAAGACCACTAAGTAAATTGGATACATGTACATATTTTACAACTGTCCTCTTCATTCTATCTACAGCTGTTACAGAAAGAGAAAGAAAAACGTCTTGGCTGTCAGCAGGACTTCATGGAAGTGAAGTCTCATGATTTCTTTGTTGATGTTAACTGGGATGAACTGGATGAAAAGAAAATGAAACCACCTTATAATCCAAATGTGGTAAGTTAATCAGATGTAACTTCCTTCAGGAGTAAATAAAGTGAAAGTAAACCTGCCTATAACTGGGCTCATTTTACATGATAATGACGTGATGTTCAGTTATGTCTGGAAAGGTCCTCATCACACACACACATCAATATGCGTAATGGGATGTCTTTGTAGTGTTATATTCATCAGACAATGAGTCTAGATAAAATTGTCAAGTGACTAAATATGCTTCTGTGTTGTCTTATCCAACTATAACTCAAAACACAATGCAAATTTTCATTTTAAAACAATGAGTGTTTTCCTTCATACAGAATTAATGTAATGTAGAAAATAACAGCTAAGTTGAGATGATTGCATCCCTGGTCAATATCCTTTTTGAACTTGTTTTGTTTTACAGAGCGGTCAGCTGGACTTGAAACATTTTGATCCTGAATTCGTCAGGGAACCAGTACCAGGTAACTATTACAGAATATGATCAAAGGGGGTTAACTCCAGTTTACCTAGATCCTTTCTGTATTTTTATTTATAATTTTTAAGTCACCTGAGACAAAGTCTCAAGTGACCTATTGCGATTGCCTTTTGTCCGCCGGCGTCCGGCATCCTTCTGTAAACAATTTACATTTTCGACTTCTTCTCCGAAATCCCTGTACCAATTTCAATGAAATTTTGCAGAAACCTTCCATGGCCAAAGGTCAGCTGAAATTGTGAATTATATGGTCCCCAGCCCCCAGGGGCCTGAGGGGCGGGGCCAAAAAGGGTAAAATTGACTAAAATTTCAAAAATCTTCATACTCTTCATAGATAGAAGGGTCTTAAGGTGCTTTACTAAAATTGTGAATTTCTTGACCCTGGGGTCTTACGTTTCCCCCTGGGGAGGGGTTAAACTTTACTGTAGTTTATATAGGGAAATCAGTGTGTCATTTTGGACCAACATTTGTTTAATTGCCATTGGAAGTAATTCAATTTGTTATGGTTTATAATGGCAATTGATACTTTGAATATTACATGTTGATAACTTGATTGGAATTATAACCCTAAGTTGACAGTTTGATACTTTTGAGCCATCCCTACCCCCAAGGGCTGTAGGGTGGGGCCCAATGGAGTCTGTATGCTAAAATAAAATTTCTTCATTTTCCTTGTTTAGAATCAGAGGTGCAGTTTCAAATACTTTTCAGTATTAAATCTGCATGCTAGATATTGAATAAGGTGGTTTTATTGTTTTTTGTTACTTTGAATAATATTTCTGTTCATGTTAAAAACAAAAATCAACTCTCTGTATAAATATATCAGATGACCGTTAAGGCCCATGGGCCTCTTGTTTTATTTTACAATTTATATTGATTACTTTCAAATTGCAAAAGTCACAATAGTTTGTGCGCGTGTGTGTTTTTAAACAAAAAAAAATGTACAGATTTTTTTACTTATAAGGATGATCAGAGGGCTTGGAACTCAAATCTATATATTTAAGTATACACGTGTGCACATTATATGGTGTAAAAGTACTTGTTTTAGCAAACTCATATTTTAGCATATTATCAAAGTTAAACGGAATAGTGCATTGATTTATTGGTGCATCCACTATTTATGCAATAGGCAACTTTATACAGAAACTAAAGTTAGCACAATCATATTTAGCACAATATTTAAAGCATAAAAACTGCTAAATTATACCGCTAAATAAGGTAAATTTAAAGTATATTCCTGTTCGATGTATACTCACTGACCATTTTTACTTTACTTTGTGACCTAAATGTTTCATACTCCTCTCTGACATTTAAGAGGTCAGTGTTACAGTACTTTCACTATTGATAGAGAATCATTTGTTGCATAATAATAATAAAGTCAAATTATCTTAAGGGCAATGGAAGTCAAACTTGTTACAGGGAATTCTTTTGTAAAAAAGTCAAAGGTCAAGGTCCAATATACCATGTCCCACAGGGTGACGAATTAGACAGGTTAATCTGACCAATATACCATGTCCCACAGGATATTGGATTATACAGGTTAATCTGACTCATATACCATGTCCAACAGGGTGTTGGATTAGACAGGTTAATCTGACCAATATACCATGTCCCACAGGATGTTGAATTAGACAGGTTAATCTGACTAATATACCATGTCCAACAGGGTATTGGATTAGACAGGTTAATCTGACCAATATACCATAT